TCCTTTGAACACCCTCACTCATTTCCCCTCAATGTCTTCCCAAACCCCCACCCCTGTCAGTCACCAATCTACTCTCTGTTTCTATGAGTTTGTTTTCTTGTGGGGTTTTTTTAGATTCCACATATAAGTGAGATCTCATGCACTATTTATCTTCCTCTGTCTGAGTTATTTTATTTAGCATAATGTTCTCCAGGTCTATCCATGTTGTCACAAATGGAAGGATTTCCTTTTTTATGTCTGAATAAATTATATGTGTGTATGTGTGTGTGTGTATCACATTTTCTTTATCCAGGCATTACTCTGGAAGTTAGATTTTTTCTATGTCTTGGTCATTGAAAATAATGCTGCAATGAACATGAGAGTGCAGATATCGCTTTGAGATAGTGATTTCATTTTCTATGGATAAAAAAAAAACTTCCCCTTTTGGCATCCTCATGATGTGAATGTTAATACACTTGAAATTGTCCCAGAGGCTCCTTACACTATTTTCATGTTTTTGGATTCTTTTTTCTTTTTACTGTTTTGATTGAGTGTTTTTTGCTTCCTTATATTCCAAATTGTTGATTTGATTCTCAGCTTCATCCATTCTACTGTTGATTCCCTGTAAGTTATTCTTCATTTCTGACTGGTCCTTTTTTATGCTGTTGAGGTCCTCACTAAGTTCCTTGAGCCCCCTTATAACCAGTGGTTGGAACTCTGCGTCTAGTAGATTACTTGTCTCCATTTTTTTTAGTTCTTTTTCTGAAGTTTTGTTTCTTTATGGACATATTTCTTTTTTTCTTTTTCTTTTTTTAAATATATATTTTATTGATTTTTTAGAGAGAGGAAGAGAGAGGGATAGAGAGTTAGAAACATCGATGAGAGAGAAACATTGATCAGCTGCCTCTTGCACACCTCCTACTGGGAATGTGCCCGCAACCAAGGTACATGCCCTTGGCCAGAATCGAACCTGGGACCTTTCAGTCCGCAGGCCGATGCTCTATCCACTGAGCCAAACTGGTTAGGGCAGGACATATTTCTTTGTTTCCTTATTTTGGCAGTCTCTCTGTGTTTGTTTCTGTGTATGAGGTAGAGCTGCTACATCTCCCAGGCTTGGTAGAGTGGCCTAATATAGTAGGTGTCCCATATGGCCCAGTGGTATAGCCTCCACAATCTCCTAAGCTGGACACTCAAGGTGTGCCCCCCACGTGGGCTGTGTAACCCTTCTCTTATAGTTGAGCCTTGATTACTGTTGGCATGTCAATGAGAGGGATTTACCCCAAGGCCAATCAGCTACAAAAACTGTCTGTGACCACCAACCATCAACCTCTGACCACCATGGATGATCAGTTGTGCTGTGGCCCACCCCTCAGAGCAGGACTTACTTTAGAAGGGTTCTGCTGCCCACTGAGTCTGCCTTTTATGTGTGTAGCTAATGAAAGTGGTTGGATAGTGATGCTTCATAATGGTCTGAAACTATTCACTTGGGTGCACTGGCTCTGGGATCTCCAGGGAGGTGCAATTCAAGGTCAGCCACTGCCCAGGGCCACCCAGCATTAGCTACAAAGCAGTCAGCAGATGGCTGGTACTTGTTCTGGGCTTGGAGGTGCCCAGGAGAGGCCAAGCTCTGAACCAAGGCCTGATGCTGCTTGTTTGAGAGATTTTAGGAAAATCTGAAACATTAGCCAAGACAGGCCTTTGGTATGGAAAAGCCACTGGAAACAGCTTGGGTGGGCTTGAAAGTTGAGTGGGGCAGAGCCTCAGGAAATCATTAGGGTGGGGAAAACAGTATTAGCCAGGTTGATGGAGACTCGGACTGCCAGCTCTGTAAGGGGAGGGCTCATCAAAGGAACAATGGCTTTTGCCAGCACATCTGTCTGGGAGAAAGCTGCCCTTGCCCTCAGCTCTTGCTCAACAAACAATTCAGTGCCTCCCCATCTGCCTCTGTTGCCCTTTAATTTGCTGCCCAGCACTAGAGCTCAGAGGGAATGAGTCTGAGTAAGTCTGCGTGTGGACCCTTTAAAAGGAACTGTCTGGGACTCCAGCAGCCTCCATGTCATTCAGCCATGATCATCGGCTGATTTTTACAGCCAGAAGTTATGGGGACTTCTCTTCCTGGCACTGGTACCCTGGGCTGAGGTCCTGGTGTGGGGCTGGGACCCATCACTTCTCAGCGGGGAATTCAGGGGGGATCTCTGCAGCCAAGATATCCCTCATGATTTTTCTCTGCCATACGTGGGTGTGGGACCAGCCTGTTCCATGTCTCTACCCCTCCTACCAGTCTCGATTTGGCTTCTTCTTCAAGTCCCTAGTTGTAGGGCTTCCAACCAGCCAGATTTCAGGCATTCTGAAAGGAATGGTGGTTTTCTATAGTTTAGTCTTAATTATGATGTGGCTGGGAGGAGGGAAGTACCTATTTCATGTTTACCTACCCTGCCATCTTGTTCAAAGTCCCTCATCTTTAAAGAGGAGCATGCCTTGCCCTGGCTGGTGTGGTTCTGTTGGTTGGAGCATCATCCTGTGCACTGAAGGGTTATGGGTTTGATTCTAGGTCAGGGTACATACCCAGATTTTGGGTTTGACCCAGGTCGAGGTGCTTACTGGTACAACTGTTTGATGTTTCTCTCTCACATTGATGCTTTTCTCTCTTGTTCTCCCTTCCTCTTTTTCTAAAATCAATTAAAAAAAATAAAACTATTAAAAAAAAATAAAAAAGGAGTGCCCATGTACACAGACAGTGGGGTGGTGAGGGCCTGGGGCCGGAGGTGGGGATGGGCTGGAGGAGTCTGGGGGAGGGGTGGGGGAGGGGACATACGTAATACTTTCAACAATAAAGATTAAAAAAAAAAAAAAGAGGAGCATGCCTTCAGCTTCTTAGTCAGATGTGGAATGAGTGATTTTAAGAGTGACATTCTGACTCCAGAAGAGATTGAAAGGTATAACCAGTTTTGAGAGAACGGATACCTCTGTGATGTGCTCCCAGCCATTCTGAGCATGTCCTTCTATATTCCTCATTCAATATTTCCTCTAATGACTTCCAAACTTGATATCATATCATTTTTATTCAGTTGATATCATTTATTTTTCTTTTGTACTTAAAATTTTGTTTTTCATTAGAGGAGTTCTGCAGGATATTCTTTTGGATCTAAGTTGGTATTTTCTAAGGATAAGAAATAATGACTCTCTACCTTCCTGAGTTCAGAATTAGTTGAGAGATAAAGAAGCCAAGCATATGGAGATCAGAATCTAACCTTTAGTATTGGTTTTTACTGGGAGAGTACTTCGAAAAATGTCATCTTAGCTCTGAGGGCCAATGTGGGCACGTTAACATTTGGACCCTGAATATGACTTCTTATCAACTTAGTAACCAAATAGGACACCACAGCCCACTCCATGAGTGTTTAACCCTCTAAAACTTCGTTTTAAAATATATTTTTATTGATTTCATAGAGGAAGGGAAAGGGAGAGAGAGATAGAAACATCAATGATGAGAGAGAATCATCGATCAGCTGCCTCCTCCATGCCCCACACTGGGGATTGAGCCCACAACCCAGGCATGTGCCCTGACTGGGAATTGAACCATGACTTCCATGGCTCAGATGCTCAACCACTGAGCCATGCCAACCGGGCTAAGACTTTTTTAAAAAAATATGTTTTTTATTGATTTTAGAGAGGAAGGGGGAGGGAGAGAGAGAGAAACATCAATGATGAGAATCACTGATTGGCTGCCTCCTGCATGCCCCCTACTGGAGATTGAGCCCACAACCCCGGGCATGTGCCCTTGACTGGAATTGAACCCAGGACCCTTCAGTCTGCAGGCTGATGCTCTATCCAAAGCAGCTAGGGCTAACCCTCTAACACTTAAAACAAGGAAGAGAAGAATAGCTCCTGCCATGGAGTTAGTGAGGGGCTGAAAGAGAGGCTAGGTTGTGTTACTATTATGGAACACGAGGAGCATGAGAAGTGGAGAACTGTGTTCCATAACATAGGGTGATAGTAATTCCTCTTAACACGTACCGTCAATTTATAGCAGATGCTCAGAGAAAGATACTATGTAAAATCAGGTTGTATGACACATTCAGATTTCAGAAACATGAAAGTCATTTTTCTATCTCAGAAGTAAGGGAGTATAGTGTTACAAGTTATCGATCATTTATTCCTTGGTAAAAGCCTTCTCTAAGGTGTGTACTAACTGGGGGCACACCCCTGGCTGGGTGGGGAGCCCCAACTGTAAGTCCAGCCTTGCTCCAACTAGCTGGCACTCCTTGGCTCCATGGAACCTTTCCAGGCCTGCTTTTCATCTGCTCAGTGAGGAATGGGGGACCAGCCCAATATATTGACAGATAAAAAGGATGAGGAATACTAGTATGAGGCCTGAACTTACACAGTTAATTAGTTTCAGAGTTGGGACTAAAACCTAGGTTTCTCCTTTCTTTAGTCTCATTGTATTCTGCTATATCTATCCATTTTAGATGGGCTTGAATTAAATTCAGACAAAATAGTTTAGCAGAATAGAAGTGATAATTCATTTGTTCATTAATCATCCATCCATACATTCAACTGAGCATTTTTTTTTAATGCCAAGTACTGTGCGAGGCAATAGGATGAATAAGATATGGTTTTGGCCTCTCTAGAAGCATACAACCTATACTTTCTTGTGTTTGCAGCTGTTAGTGACCACCTCAACCACCGGTTAACTGTGGAACTTCAGGTCTTATATTCCTCATTCTTTTTATCTGTAATATATTGGGCTGGTCCCCCATTCCTCATATTTATAGCCTCACTTGAATGGCTTCAAACTGATGCTTGGAATAGATCCAAACCTTCCTGGTTGCCCTGAAACTATCATCTCTTTTCCTGAGACCTGGAATAGTACCCCTTCAGTTGACATGGCCCACCTCCAAGAACTGGCTCATACCATCTTAGGACACAAGTTCTTCAACGGCCTGAAGAGAAAAGATACAAGTGAGGTCTAGAACCATACATGGGTCTCATTGTGATTTTTCTCTTTCTGTTTATAGGGTGCTCAAGCTGGCATTACTACGTAACCATGCCAATGCCAGCCTCCACCTTCACAATTGCGGTGGGACCCTGGACAGAAGTGAAGCCAGAGACCTGCTCGCCAAGTGACCTGGCAGCGGAGAGGTCCCTCTCGCTGTCCGAGGCTGACTTTAGGTTTGTATTTGGGATGTTGCTGGAAAACAGACACTCGAGGGAGCAGAATGATGCACTTATTCCAAGCACTGGGAATGTGAGTCATCCCTGCTGAGAAACTAAACCAAACTGTGATTACTCAAAGCAGGAAAAGCCCTGCTGGGAGGGAAAGAGAGCTGAGAGGCAGAAATGTGGGCATATTGTTGATACGGAAAGAACAATAAAATAAAATAAATGTCTATGAAATCCTCTGTGAAGTCAGGTGAAATATTTTTATATATCTGGTTAAGTCAGCAGAAACTTCAGATCCAGTACTTTCTTTCTACACCTTTTAACTTTGGATTTCAGTGCTTATTTAGTCAAAAACACAACTTAATCAAAAGAAATTGCTTGTTTGATGGCTTCCTTTGTAGTCCACTCTGCTGCTTTGGGTCCAGTGACTGCTGTTAGCAGTGCATTTGTGGATCACCCTTCTCAGGAGCATTGGACACAAGGCCCTTGGGTTATGAGAATCCTGCTGGGTCAGGGCTCTGTTAACTTCGGTAGCAATTGCTTATATTTCAGAGTCGATCAGAGAAAATCAGTTTAAACTTTTTAAAAGTCAGTAGAGGCCATTAGGTATTCACTTGCAGCTTTCCCAGAAGTTCAGCTGTTTCTGGCTTCGAGAGCCAAAGAGGAGAAGGGGAATGCACATACTGGCACAGGCGTGTGCTAGTCATGTCGTGTGGTATCGCGCTTCATTCTAGAACTTTTACATCCAGCTCAGTTTAATCATTTTCCCATTTACAGGTCGTCACTAAGTCAGTACCCTCTGGTAGAGAACGCCCAGAGTCATGGGACAGATGGTTCGCTCATCCTTGAAAGCCAGATAAGATATGCTCATAGGACAAATTCCTTTTGTGTCGGTTTTGTTTTGCCAGGTTGCTTTTGCAGTGACGGTGGTGGCTGGTGTCCTTAGAAGACAAAGCCTTTGAGCCCTCTCTTCCGAGGGGCATGTCTTATTGCCTACATTTTGCTTTTTGGAGGAAGGGAGGTAATTTCCACTTCTTACTTAGTAACTTCCATATTTTGGGCTATCTTCCCTGAGCTATATAGAGTATCCTAGATTGCTTTTTGAATTTTACTTATGCACTCCTGAGGGGAGATGTAGACAGAGTGACATATGTTATTTTCACGTGGGAATATTTAATGGTTTGTGAGACCTAGTGCCCTCTTCCCCTGTCACTGAAATCCCATAGTAGGCCTCATTTTGCAATTCTGGGTAGCTAGATTTCTGAGTAGGGAGGACAGGTCCCTTGGGTAGTCACTTGGATCCACAGTAGACTTGGTATGAGTGAGAAATAACTTGTTTGTGTTAAGCGACTAAGATACTGGGGTTGTGTGTTATTGCAGCATATCCTAGCCTATCCTGAATTGATGCAGAAGCCATTGGCTGTTTGAAATCCAGGAAAGTCTTGATTTAAATGTCATCTCGGTTAGTTCTGAGGATAAGCCTGTATGACAGATAGGTTTTATTATCTCCATTTTATAGATAAAATACTGATGCTGGGACTTGTTCATGTCTCCTGAGTTACAAGACCTGGATTCGCATCTGGGCTGAACCCCCTGGAGAGGTGATTCAGAGGCTTACCTGGGACTTTTAAAAATTGTACATAACACCCCTGCCCCACCCGGAGTCTGGTCCACTCTCACCCGGAGAGTCAGTGCCAGGACTGAGTCACTGTTGCCAATTGGAGTGATTCACGTTGTAACAGCAAACAGAAGTTGAGGCACTACCTTTGAGCCTGGAGGTGCCGTGCCTGTTGGCTAAGTAAGTTTCTGTGGGCAAAACCATCCTTCTCTGTAGAATGCAGAGTTCGCTGGGGGTGTGGCGCGGAGGGAGTGTCTCATTTCTCCCTGGGAAGGCGCTCCCTGCTCTGCACACACCGCGCGGCCTGATTCGCTGTGAGAGGCGCGCAGTTGGAAAATGTGTGCCTGAGGAAGGCTAGGGGGAGGCAGAGAAAGACGTCTGCTGTTCTGTCCCCCAGCCACATCCGCAGAGATCCGAGTGGGGAGCGGGCAGCAAGTGCCCCCTGTGCATGCTCCCTGCTGCCCAGAAGCAGCTGAGATGGCTGCTCACGCCTCTTGCATCCGTAATTGTGACGGAGGAGGACATGGCAGGTGAAGTGGGGATTCTGGGAAGATAGGACTTCGGTATCCCTGTTAGGGTTTAGGGGACGGGGCAAACACAACCCCTCTCTTGTCCTCCTGAGTTCAGAACCAGTTGAGAGACAGGAGAACAAAAGAAAGGTTTTATTATTGACAGAAGCTGGACTGAGGGCAGGCTCAGGTGTACAGTGTTAATGGGGTTTCTAATGCTCCATCTCCAAATGAGACAGGCCTCCACGCAGCTGACCACTGCAAGCCTCCACAACACAGATGCACACAGCCTTCCTGAGAGGCAAAAGTCCCCCCTCTGTGGGCAAGCAGACTCTAAAGCAGCCGGGGGAAAACTACGGCCCGTTTGAAATGAATAAAACTAAAAAAAAAAAAAAAAAAAAAAAAAAAAAAAAGACCATACCCTTTTATGAAATGATGTTTACTTTGAATTTATATTAGTTCACACAAACACTCCATCCATGCTTTTGTTCCAGCCCTCCGGTCCAGTTTAAGAACCCATTGTGGCCCTCGAGTCAAAAAGTTTGCCCACCCCTGAAAGTCCAGAGTGACCAGCCAGTCAGATCGGCTGGAGCCCCAGGGCATGGGTGCCACTACAGGGAAGGTGGTGCTAGTGTGGAAGCGGGGGGCCTGGTGGATGAAGTCCCTCCCACACTCCCTTCCATGTCTGACATGCTACGACTGAGTTTTCCCTTCATTTATCACTGTGCTTGTCCATCAGAAATGTGCTGCTGATAAAATAATAGCTTACATTTGCTTAATCCTTCCCTGGCTGCGTGCTTCATGTGTGCTGTCTTTAGTCATCAGAGGGTGGCTTTGTGTTTTGATCCATTAAATCTCTGGCTCTACGCTAAGTTTGCCAACAAAGGTGCTCTGAAGTGCCAACTGCACTGTTTTTGGTTATGTTCACATCTGGTCTCCTTGTCTTTCCCAACCCCCCTTTCTACCTCAAGCCTTCCTCAGACCACTAGTTCAATTCACGGAAACGTAACTTTCACAGGGGCCTTAGATACTATAGGCTTTTATTTGCCTAATGTGTTCATCTGGGTCCCAGAAATTTGGCCAAAGTATTGGTCACTGAACTTTTGTTGTTGTTGTTGTTAATCCTCATCCAAGGACATTTTTTTCCATTGATTTTTAGAGAGAGTGGAATTCCAGGAGGAAAAAAGGGATAGAGGGAGGGAAGGAAAGAGAGACAGAGAGAGAGAGAGAGGGAGAGATGGACTGGTTGTCTCCCACATTTGCCCAACTAGGGCCAGGGATTAAATCTTCCCTTCCTTTGGCCAGGAATCGAACCACAACCTTTCTGTGCATGGGCCAACACTCTACCCATTGAGCGACACCGGCCAGGGCTGGTCACTGAACCTCTGACCCCTGTCCATGTGGGCCAAATTATAGGAAGAGCGGCCCTCTTCCAGCTCCAGTTCCACGTGTGCTCCAGCTCATTCTGGGTGAACATTTTGGTAAAGTCATTAATTATAAGGCACTCAGCCAAACTGTGGAAAGTTTATTAATTTTGTTTGGCTGCAGTATAACTTTCTCCAGCCACCAGGAAATCTTTGTATTATGTTTAACCTCTTGAGGCCTTGGTTAAAGCATTGTCTTCACTTTGGGGCTATACAGGTTAAGCAGGACCCTTGGATAAAGGCCAGAGGAGATCAGCAAAAATGGTTAAAAGCGTGGAAAACAGGCACACAGAGCTTGGGAAAGCCTGGGAGAGGCGCTGAGGCACTAACTCTACAGAAGGGGACACTTGGCAGAGGGTGTAAAGTCAATGAAGAGTGGGACCTTGGAGGACAAGGCCTGTTTCTATCTCTTTGAATAGGAGGGATGTAGAGATAAATCACAGGGGAACTCCAGTTCCCGGAACACCTTCGCTTTGGGGGACCTTTCCAAGCCTTCTCGGCTGGTTATTTGTCCAACCCTTGCTCCCCTAGAATGTTTCTGCTTTCTGCCCCGCATTGCACATATCACATTTTGCTTTTTAATGTACTGAATGTTCGCAGAAAACACTCCAGCTTTCAGACGCTATGACATCATCATGTGTGTTGCCATCACTGTCAGCCACCCGCTGGGGGGCAGGTGGTGGTGGTTTGAGCACTTGTGATTTTTAGGAGGCATTTTCTCTGCTAGCTGAAACATGTTCATAAATTGCGTAAATGTTGGACTGTGTCACTAAACTAATCATGATCTAACATTTTTTCTCCTAACAAAACTGTAAACTCCTCAAAGGTCAGGTCGGCATCTTCTGCGTAGGTATGCGCAGGGCAGCTCCGTGCGGAGTGCCTTGAGAAGAGCAGGAATGCAGGCGATACTGACTGAGTCCTCACGGCGAACCCAGGAAGGCTTGTGGGAAAAGGCTGTGCATTCCCTGGGGAGGCTTTCCAGTAATTTCTTTTGAACCCAGGACAGAGGACCGTTTGTGCCCGGGTCTCAGCACAGCGCTGTCTGAAACAGGAGGAGAACCTCTTGAGGCAGTTTGCCATCCTGTGGCTCTGAGTCAGACATGGCCACCCCTACCCCTTGGAGAGAGCGCTTGTAAAATCGTCTCCGTCCAGCGTCGTGTAAGAGGGAACCAATGCCTGGTACCCATCATTTACCAGCCTGGCGTGGCTCCACCCTTCTTCCCACTCTGGGCAGAATTAATAGGCGACACCGACAAGGAGAAACAGACACTGGAGAATCACAGGGCCGCTGAGCTCAGCTTTGGAAAAACTCCAGGACCCAAATGTACTTAAGAAGCAAAATAAGGTTTAATGGAGAAGGAGAGTCAGGAGGGAGGAGCTTATGAAGACTCACGCTGTGATGAATAGTTCTTATTCCTTAGGCATGTTGTGGATTATCTGGGAAAATGTGTGTAACGTGTTCAGAGCAGTGCTTGGCACCTAGTAAATGTTCAAGAAACGTAAGTAGCAGTGGTGGTAGGAGTTAGGCACGTACACAGCGATGTGTAACTGGAGGGCACGCTGAAGGAAAGATAGAGCGTCTGTGAGTTAATGCGGGCTCTGTGGAAGACGGCTCATGACTTCACAAAGCACAGCGTTTCCCTACCGCGTCAGAAACATGGCTCTCGCATGCAGACGGCTCACGTGTGTTCAGGTGTTGTGTGTGTTTGCCTTTAATTAAACTATAATTAGCAAACTACAGAATGAACAGACCTTAAGTTGTTCGGCTTGATCAGTTTTTGACAGTTGAATACATGCTAGCCCAGGTAGAGAACATTCCTTCACCCCAGGAAGTTCCCTCACACCCTTTCCAATCAGCCCTCCCCTTCTCAGCAGCCTGTTCCGTGAGGACCATGTCCAAGGTGAGGAAAAGTGGCCCGAGACCGAGTCGCTTGCCTCGGGTCACAGGGAACCGGTTGAACAGCCACAGAAGTCCAGGTGTCCCGATCCCCACGTCGGAATCCACGTGTGGCCTCCCTGGTGCCATTTCCATTTGTATTGGGAGCCTTACTGGTCTCACTTGCCCAAAGCTTGATTGTCTTCTTAGAGTCCTGCATTTCTCTGAGGCTTGATAATGAAAACCAGCGCTAATACATCCAACTGAAATAACCTTATTACTTATGTAGTGCCATTTCTATTCAGAGAGAATTTAACTCACCTTTTCTCTTGAACAAATTGGCTTTCATGGTATTTCTTTGGCTCCCTCAAACTGTTCTCTAACTTTTAGAGTTCAAGTTCTTGGCTGCAAAAAAATAGTCTAGCCCCATGGTGTGTTTCTAGCTAGGCCAATGGAATGTCTCCTTGCAAAATTGCGCTTTGATAGATTGAATTTAAACGCATGCTCCAACTTTGTCCTGAAGATGCCTCTTCACCTCTAACTTCTCCATTATTTAATGTGCTCTGCAAGCTTTTCAATGGAGAGTGCGAGCTTCAATTACCATAGCACATTGCATACCCATATAAACACATTAGGAGAAGGTATTGTGGTGGTCAACTTAACAAATGATTTTTCGCTTTGTGAGAGCTGTCATTAAATTGATGCTCCAGCACAGTACTAGGCCCTAGGGCAGTGATGGCGAACCTTTTGAGCTCGGCGTGTCAGCATTTTGAAAAACCCTAACTTAACTCTGGTGCCGTGTCACATATAGAAATTTTTTGATATTTGCAACCATAGTAAAACAAAGATTTATATTTTTGATATTTATTTTATATATTTAAATGCCATTTAACAAAGAAAAATCAACCAAAAAAATGAGTTGAGTTCGCGTGTCACCTCTGACACGCGTGTCATAGGTTCACCATCACTGCCCTAGGTGGACACTGAGCCTTCAGTTAAATGTTTACCAACAGGCACCTATTCTCACTTTCTCCATAAAGCAAGGTTATCAATCCGAGGACTTTGGCAAGCTTAACAATTATATTCTTCCTGTCACCTTAACCTGGGAGAAGTATTTATGAGTCTTCCCCTATTACTGTTCCCTCAGCTGTGGCCAAACGTCATGGGTGCTGGGAGCTGTGTTCTATGTACCACATGGTGGAGGGCGAGGCTTCTCCCCATCGCTGTGCAGACCTCCTGGGGCAGTCAGTGCTGACCGTGGGTGGGTGAAAGGCACTTCAGAAATTTGGAGAGGCAGTATTGCTACAGTCCTCCCATATTGGAATGTACCGGTATTTTAAGTTTTTTTCAGTATTCACTGTTTATCTAATAAGCCTCATAGTTAGGAATATAATTTATACATTAAAAGTAGAGAACTATTCCATTATGTTTGAATAAAGGACCTGTTAACAGGTGAAAAAATAGTTCCCTTTGACGTGGGGTTCTTTGGGTAGATAGGTTCTCTTGAGGCCTATGAGTCAGGCTCTAGGAATTCTTTTTCAGCTCCACCTTTGGTAGAATAAAGGACAGTGGCCAGATGGTGCAGGCTGGGCTCTAATCTGTTTCTTTAAAAGGCTGATTTAGTTATGTTTGTATTGAAAATGGATTGGTGAAAATCTTGTACAAAAGTGCTTCTGTAGACCCTGGCCAGTATTTCATTGGTTAGAGCATTGCCCAAGATTTCGGATTCGATCCTCTGTCAGAGCACATTCAGGAATCAACCAGTGAATACTTAAGTAAGTAGGGCAACAAATCAGTGTCCCTCCCTTCCTTTTTTTCTCTCTCTAAAATCAATCTATAATAATAAAAGCATGATATGCTAATTAGACTGGACGGCCAGGGCTGCGAGGGCCGAGCCCCTTGCACGAATTTCGTGCATCAGACCTCTAGTCAATAATAAATATATTGGGGGGGGGGGGGCGCCTCTGTATTCCTTAACAGCACACCTTTTGATGGCCTTTGTAAAGAACCGCCTAGACTACTTTTCAGTAGAGTGGATTGTGCTCTTTTGAAGTTGAAAGCTGTACTGTCATTTGCTTCATTGTTCTCTACCCAAATCCACGGCTTTTATTCTAGCATATTCCAGAATGCCATCTTCACTTTGGCTGCACCATCCCTTCCTTTCAGAGTTATGAATCGTCCCTGATTTGGAGAGGATTTTTTCCATAGTGATATTTGAAAGCACAATTCTAAGGGCAGACATTATTTTTTGTTTTATGAGTTGTTTACTGTTTAGAGTCTTGGGGCTTTCCCACCATTCTAAAACAATATTTACTGCTTTCACATAGCTTAGATTGAAATTACTCAAACAGTTCAGCACAACCAGAAGTATGTCCACCTGTATTTTATCACTGCTGTATAGATCAGGCAAGCGGAGAACTCAAGTACGGTTTTTGCTTGGGAACCTGTCTGAACCGCTCTCTCCTAGAAGTGGCCCATGCCTGTGAAAGCTCCTCACCTCCACAGCAAGAAGCATAAACCTATTTACCATAAAGTACATCTGTTTATTTTGTGTTGTCCCCAGGTGTGCTGGCATCTGTGGCCACATGGAATACCCCTGCCGCTTCCAGAATCCGTCTGCCACAACCCAGGAGATCATTCCTCATCGGGTGTTCGCCCCCGAGAGCCTCGCAGGTGCCTGCCAGGAGACCCTTCTGCAGCTGCTCTCTCCTTGCCTCTCAGCAGCGCACGCTGTGCTGGGGACACACCCATTCTCCAGGCTGGATGTGCTCATCGTTCCTGCCAACTTTCCAAGCCTGGGGATGGCCAGGTACATTGTTCCATGTGGCACTTGGAGAGAACATGCTGGGGGAATTCTGTGACTATTTCTTGCTTTTTCTGAGCTCAGTCAGAGCTGTCATTTGATTAGGATGAGAGGGCCATGATTGCTTGTGCTTGGACATCTCATTGCTTCCTTGAGGGACAGTCTGTGCATAAACTCTATCGTGCATGAGCCTTTGGGTGTCTTGGGCTGCATTCAGCTGCCTTAAAAATAGAATGACATTGTCGCTGGGATTTAAAAGACATGGTGCCCCCAGAGTGTTGCATGTTGGATCGTGGCTGATCAGTGGCTGGTTAGCTTAGATGGTGAGAGCATAATGCTAATGATCCCAAGGTCATAATTCTGGGCAGGGTGACACAACCTGGTTCCAGGGCCATAGGCTGCTCGCCTAATCCTGACCAGCTGTCTCATCCATTCTCACGTCGTCACAAGGGCAATGCCTTAAGAGCCCCTGTGTCAGAGAGACTGTGGATGGATCAGTGTAAATCCATCACCACTGCTAGAAAAACAGCTCAAAGCAGGCGGCTTCCTGGGGATGAGGTCGGGGTGGGAGGTACTTGTCTTACTACTGTTGCTCAATACAATAACTACATTGTTCTTATTGATGTCATAGTTTAGTTCCTATAGAAAATCAAGACCTGCAAGTTGAACCTTTCCCTAAATTGTATTATTTACACCTAAAATTCGTTCATTAATGCCATTGTTCAGTCAGTAATAGGTAGCTGGATTTCACTCAGCGTTTTACTTGGTTATCTACTCAGGATTTTACTTGGTTATATTTCTGTTTGAAAATCTTAATCATTAACAGTGGATATGCTTGACTAAAGATGGGAAAAATAAGCTCATCAAAACATGTGACTTTAAGTTTTTCCCTATTAGTCAAGGAAATTCCTGCTGCCAATTAATTTCCATGCTTTTGAACAGCTGTCATTTGTGGTGTTTTCCCTGAAAACTGCACACATTCTTAGTAAAAACCCATGAGTAGAAAAGAACTGTCCAGAACATTTGCTTTTGATCTTTACTACATACGTATCCTTTTAAAAAGCTGGCTGGCTAGTCTTAATCCTTGCGGAGGTCTGAGAAAGTCCTTTAGGCTGATTTTTATCCTATATTTATGAAGATAATGGGAATGTAGAAGCTAGGATAATTATATATATTTGGTTACATGCATCATAGAATTGTCTTGGATGTCTATATATAGAATCCTTCTTAACAAGCGGGCTTCTTTGGTCCCTTTGAAGAGTCTGCTGGACTTAATTTAAGCAGAATTATTGGCAAAGAAAGGGTCGTTCATTAAATGCGTCTCATTTGTACACAGTTTTGAGGGGCCATATCTGTTGGGAGTTTTCAGCACTTTATGAGAGTGCAGCTTTCAGGGCATGTTTGCTCACAGTTGAGCGCTGACCCGAGGGAAGCCGGGCAGAGAGGCTCTCACACAGAGGGCCTTGTTTTCTGTAGCTCCTTCCTGACGTCCGTCTGCCTCGGCCAGGACTGGCTGACCTGCGGGCCATGGTGTAAAGCTTTTCTTTTCAAGTTTGCATGCCCAAGCAGGTAGGCTGTGTGTTTGCTGCTGCTTGCGATATTTAAAGTGATTTAAACATGCTTAACTCTGTATTTTTAAAGCAATAAGCCTAAATACCCTCAGGCTAAATGGTACTGGGCACAAATGTAAAAAATGTGAGGGTAATAATAACTTAGCAGCAACAAGAGTGCTTTCATGCTGAACAGGAGAACCGCACACTTAAACATTTGTGGGTTGTCAGATATCATTTTTTTCCATTTTTCCCCTTCTTTTTGGACTGTGGAAAGAGTCTGCCCTGGCCTAGATATTTTCCTGGGCTTAGTTACTGTTCCCCGTGCTCGAGCTGCGGAGGGTTGTGGTGTCTTCCACTGCCAGTGGCGGGGGCGGCGGGCAGGGGGCGGAGGGCGGGGGGCGGGCGCTCTGTTTTTCCTAACTCTGACCTAAATTGATTCCACTTGTTTGGCGTGACTCTCTTGGGATCCCAACACCTTGAGCACATGTGACCAAGTGGTGTCTATGACTCAGTTGGCTCCCAGGGTCCTGCTGCCTGATTTATGGTCATGGCTTTGCCTGGGGCTCTGGAAAGCAAAGCTGGGACAAAAATGACAGTCTTCTAGGCCAACTCCGTGCCCAAAATAGGAACAGAGAAACATCAAGGACAGTCAGAACCATTGGGAAAGACCTCCACACCGAAACTTGGCATTGTCCTGTTCATTCTTGTGCACCAGAGCTCACAGGAGTGCCGGCAAATTAAATGGTTCTTTCCCGAGGCCACACTTTATAAACATCTATGGCAAGATTATAAATTCCATGCCTCCTGGCTACTGTAGTGGTCAGGGGTCAATCATATTTAAACCCATTTTATACCATTTTAGAATTCTTTTTTTTTCTTCGGTAAATGACATTAAAATCCCATATGAACTAAAATGGGTAAATTGTTAATAGCCATGTTAAGTAGTTTTTTAAAAAAAAATCTGGATGATATCGATAATGATTGCACTGTATTTTAAATGTTACATGTCATGGGTTGTATAAATAATCTTAAAACTTGTTCTCTGAGTCTGTTTTTGAGCCTGATTCTGATATTCAATGAAGTGAGGGAAAACACATTTGTTCAACTTGAATATAAGAAATGACAAGTCAATTTAAAAGAAGGTAAATAATACACAAACATCTTCTTAGAATTCGGAATGCTTTTCAAACACAACAGTAACTAGAACATTTGTCAATTCTGCACTTAATGATTTTTGACACCTAGTAATAGAATAGATGCCCCAAATCACTAGACCTATGACCTATTAACACCCCCTCCAATCCTCCTCTGAATGACCGTTCCACAGAATAGACGCTTTCATTCCATTCTGATTTGGAGAAAGATCACCAATGTGTTTTTAAAACACTAGTGGAAGTTCCATTCCCATACTTCTCTCACTTGGTAAGTGTGGGCTTTGTGTTTTGCTTTATTTTTGCCTTCCACTGAATCTGCCATATAAGGAGCTATGGAGTGTACATTTCATGGCTTGTGTGATTTGATGTCTATCCGAAGATCTGAATGCGCTTTGAATGACTCTCTACTGAAGAACAGCTAGTTGTCTTCGTGTGGGTATCATGAGTGTTCCGCCGTTTCCATTGCCACCTGGTATTTTCTCAGCCGTCTCAGCTAGGGATTCACCAGTAGGCCTGATTTCCTAGGTATTGAGAAATGCCTGAAACGAGCTCATCATCATGCTTACACTCTTTGTTTTAATAATAATAATGTTAATGGAATAATATCCTGAAACCACACTTATGACGGTTGCTTAAAAATTAGCACCTCCGTCTTCCTTGTGAGTGCGTTTATAATACATGCTTTGCTTCATCATTTGTCTTTCAGCAGTTCACAATTACGTGTCACGGGGCATAATTAGGTTGGCAGAACTACCTTGCTGATATCCAAATAGTCTTTTTCCCCCCTTTTTCTATTTCAGTTTCAGGCATCTCCTACAAATCATTTTTGGAGTGGTTTTATATACGGAGCTCTGAATAAAAAGCCATGTCCTCTGTGGCCCTGCTTCATGCCCAGCCATTCCCATGGGCCTCAGCCCCGGTCCCACAAGCAAACAAACAACACAGCAGCAGTGTGGTTCAGGACAAGTCACAAAGTCTGCTTTGACCTTGCCCACCGGTTCTAGACCAGATTGTCCTGTTCATCTGTTCATTGTTTCTTTATTCGTTCTTGTAAGAAATTTCTGTTGTGCACTTAATGTGAGCCAGGTAGGACTAAAGATGCTGAGTCTACAGTGGGAATAAGATTGATGCGGTCTCTGTCCACATGGAACTTCCATTCTAGTCAGAGGAGAAAATTGTATACATAAAAACAAACAACCAAGATGTGTGCTAAGGGCAAATAAAACCAAGTCAGCGATAGAGTGACTGAGGATAGGTAGCTTTGCTTGGGTGGCGAGGCAAAGGCTTCTTTAAAGAGTGATGTTTGCAGTGAGACTGGAGAATGGGAAGGAGCCAGCCTTGCGACCTTTTGGTGGGAAAGCAACCAGGGTGAGGCAGTTCAAGTCCAAAGGCCCCAAGGTGGAAACCATGGAAGGGGCTGGAGGAGCAGAAAGAAGCCCAGTGTAGCTGAAGGACAGTGAGCTTTTAGAATGGCTTTCCTTCACCCACTTCTTAAACTCGTTTTTTGAAGCCAGGAGCTGCCATGGTCCCTCAGGGCTTGGTCACCTGAGCCACCCACACACCCACACAGTATGAGGAAGAGTGAGGGAGAGCCAGTAAGAAATGGGGGAGGTGGTTCCAGGCAGCCAGGTGTTAGAGGGAGAGGGGTCAAGTGTTCTCCCAGTTTCCTGGGGCCAGCAGTGCCGTACCAGCTCGGGACAGGCCAGTTAGAAGCTGACTGAGCTTAGCAGCTGCTGTCCTTAAGCAAACTTCTCCATTGCGAGGACATGGAGCACCTGTGCCTGGACTGACAACTCTCCCTTTGTGGAGAAGGGACGAGTCTCGGATCAACACGTTCCTTCCCCCAGAGGCTGCTGATGGATTCCTCGCAAGGTTTTTTGATACAGGGAGAGAGGCTGCGTTTACATGTTTGCTCATCCTGATTTTAAGCTTTTAAAAGACTGAACAAAAATAGGATTGGTAAATAAAGAGCTTCGAGAAATAATTGCCAATTACTTAAATATCTTCAACGTACTTCACAGTAGAGAAAAACTATAAAGCTTCCTACTACACATGGCTTATTCTTAAAAGATTTGATTGTGCAATAAAAGGCGTCTAGTAGTTCCTAACTATTGCACGCACAGTTTTCTTAAGCATCTCAATTTGCAAATAAATGGTGTGCACGTACATGCCCAAGAATGAACATAACCAGCTTTTCCTCCTCCCTCCTGCCTCCTCCCTCCTCCTTCTCCTGGGTTAGACAGGGTGTTGTCCTGTTTATTCTTATCTCCCAGCCAATGCGTAATAGAATCAGCAAAAC